AATGTTTGATAATCTTATCTAGTAAATACGTTTCATGCTAACCTTTTTCGTTGCGCGCTGATTCATGATATTAAACACTTGTTTTAAGCTTTGTCTGTGTTTGACCCAGTACACATTTCAATAAAACACTTTAAACGGTTTAAAACGTGAAATATTTAAGTTAATTACGACCGGTCGGTCATTTTATTGTATTATTAGCGTATTATTATTGTGTATTTAAATGAAACACTTTTGACGGTTAAAAACGCGAATTATATTAGTCACATCCTTCATCTTTGACCTACGGTGACAATGGCTGTTGCAAAGCATCCGTAACTTACCACCGTATTTAAAATACATCACATTTTAAACCGTTAAAAGTTTTTTTTTAAATATGTAAGTACTATTCGCGTAAACGAAATAATAAAATGACCCATACAAAATACGTGGTCACCGAAGTGTCGAGTCGTGATTATATTAAACATATCGTGTTTTAAACCGTTTAGAGTGTTTTATTGAAATGTCCGTAAGATTATTCTCAGCATGTCGGTTCTCGAGAACGCTAAGAAGCGATTCTTATCTTGTTTTTAAGACTTTGCACTGACTGTTTTATTGATGAGAACATACATACATATACATTGTGGGCGGGTCTTGTCGGAACGTCCAATTTTCCATGAAGCGGTAGCGACAGCAAAACAGTCTACATTTGAATATATTCACAACTCTCTTTGTTGTTTTTAAATGAAAAGGAGGACAGACAAGCATGGCAAGTTCACTTGTGTACCCTAGCCTCCATTTTCATGTAAATGAAATAATTTTCCCCGTTTTTTATACATTTGCTGCTGTTTCTTCGCTCCTATTAGACACACAGCTATGTCTTATAGCCTATAGCCTTCGTCAATAAATGCTCTAATCAATACGAAAATTATTCAATTCGAACTAGCAGTTCCTAAGATTAGCGCGTTCAAACAAACAAACTGAGCTTCCTACATTAGTATAAATTTTAGTACCGAAATAAGATTACTATATAAAATATATACCTCTCTATTTAAACATAGTCTGTAATTTACGCGGGTAGTACATCAATCATTTCGTTTGCTATTACGACTTACACTTGGCTGTTTTAGTTACGTTTGCTTAGATAGCATACGATGTTTTTATCACAGATTGACGTCTTTTGTTTTCCGATAGCGCTGAATCATAATTATACCGGAATTATAATGACTTGTGTCATAAATAAAAAAACACAGAAACACTCCCACTTTTATCGTAAGATAAAAAATCATCGAAAGATATTTTTTTATGCTACTGTTGTTTTGTTGAACTGTGCCTGTCGCTGACGCAATAACATGTTTTTATTTTTATTCACGTGTTTCCAAATTGATTGATAGGTTTTATCGTTTCAAACTATCGACGTCTGTATGTGTTGTAGACCCACCGCGCTGTACCAGTACGGGTTGGTAGGCTTTTACAGCCAAGAAATTACTGATAATGGCCGAAAAAGATAATAAATTCGAAACTTTGGGCTAACACTAGAAAATTCCAATTTTTTTTTAATTCCATGTTGGTGTAAAATCAATGTATGGCTGATAACAGGTCGTCGCTTCGATCCCCCCGGGTCCAACATTTCTGTAACCAATTTACAATTTTTCTAAAAACGTTGGACATCGTCTGAAAATCTGGATATTAAATGTATGGTAGACTGGTCTGGATTTCCTAATATCCAAAGCCAAAATAAGCCAACAGCGTATCTTCTTCGAATGTTATTTGGCTGGGGTATTCCACCTACCATCAAGTAACAAAAATATACCTATAAAAGGTTGTCTGGAAGAGATCGCTACCTAGCGATAAGGCCGCCTTTAGTTGGTACGTAAGATTTTTCCTCATTAATATGAGATAATAAGATAATAAGAGATAGTCCACATTTAAATAAAACATTTTAACGGTTTAAAACGCGATATATTAGTTAAACTTATTCGACAATGATTTTTAATTTCGGCCCGACGCTATAAATCATTTTCAAATAAGTTTAACTAATATATCGCGTTTTAAACCGTTAAAGTGTTTTATTTAAATAGATTATAAGATATCTATCAAATTTCTTGAAAACATTTTGTTTTAAAACAAAATAATCATTAAAAGACCAATATCGCACGTAACGGAATCCCTCAAAAATTAATAATTTTTCCTCTTTATTCCACATTTTCCACTGTTTTTAACTCATATTCGTCGTGATGTTATAAAGCGTAAAGGCTTCCTCGATAAATGGCCTATCTAACACAAATATTTTTCGACTAGCTATGTCAGCGACTTCGTCCGCATGTCCCGTCTTTGTTGCAAGACATTTTTTAGACCATTCGAGGAATCATTCTTTCACACATATTTTTTGGGTATCTTTCGCTGCGTATGTAAGGGAAATCCACTATTATGAATAATTTTCCCCGTTTTTTTGTCACATTGTCCGCTATTTTTTCGTTTCTTTTAGTCTGATCGCGTTTTAAAGCGGCGCATTTTACTGGTTCGAATTGAAAAATTAAAAAATATTTTTTCAATTCGAACCAGTAGTTCCTGAGATTAGCGCGTTCAAACAAACAAACTCTTCAGCTTTATACATAGATTTTAAAGATTTTTAATTTCTATTGTAGCTATCTTTGTTAGAGAAGCCCCATAATGTGAAGCCCCGTAGTGTCCCCGATTATTATTTTAAATGGTTTTCACACGGCAGAACTGGTATACTTTTAACGGTTTAAAACTTGAAATATATTTGTGCATAGATTTTTAACCACGCACCTTTTTTAGGTAAATGGTTAAATACTAGTAACACAGCATTGCGTTATACGCGAGAGGTACTCGATTCAAATACCTGGGTAGAGCACGGCAGTCTCATCAGTTACTGTAAATAAAACCTATCAGTGACACGGACCCAGAAATATGTCCGCCCATGCCCTACCTGTTCTAACCGATTTATAATTGGACCCAGTTGGATTTCGTATAGAAGGCCTGGACATTAATTGGGTGGTAGGAATATCATGCATTCGCTTATAGTCTTGCTTATTTCCGAAAGTCCAAAGACATAATAGGGCGTCGGCGCATTTTGTTCCGATGTTATATGTTTCACCTCTAAGTGAAGGCCAAATGGCCTCGTCATAAAATCGACTAAAACAGTTAATGACTTTACAAGGGATAAGAACTTACGTACTAACTTATAAATAAAACGCGGCCCTTCCAGGCAACCTGAAATACAGGACAAAAGAAACAAAGGCTTATTTACATTTACCATTTAAAAAAAACACTTCAACGGTTTAAAACGCGATATATATTAGTTAAACTTATTTGAAAATGTTTTTTTTAACCACGGTCTCCCCGTGACCACGTGTTGCAAAGCAGCCGAAACGTCGAAAATAATTTTTGAAAAATTCTTATATATGTATATCGCGTTTTAAACCGTTAAAGTGTTTTATTTAAATGTGGACTACTCTCGTAAACTACAGACAGTATTTCTTAGCATTTATTATCCGGAGTTCGAACTTGGACAATCGCACTAAATAGTAGATAAAATTAACAGAGGCGTGGTTCACGTCACAAGCGATAAATTGTGTTCTATTTTTGTCTGTCTGTGTGTTTCTTACGTCACGCGTTACACGTTACCATTGAACCGTCCAAATAAAAGTTTCACGTTTTCGTGACGTAAAGTAATTGATGTTATTTTAATAGCACTTTTAAGGTAACAAAATTTGTGATAAGTATGTTAAGTAATGCCTGTAGTTTACGCTAGTTTAAATGGGTAATTTGAATAAAACTCTATTAACGGTTAAAAACGAGCAATTATTTCAGCACTCGAAACGCCGGGTCGTGGTTAGCCATAAGTAAAGTAGTACACATTTTAATAAAACAGTTTTTACGGTTTAAAACGTGCAATTGTTTCAGCATCTGAAACGTCGGTTCGTGATTAATTAAAAGTTACCTAATATATTTTGCGTTTAATCCCGTTTTTTTTTTCAATATACCCTGTGTAAAATGAAATGAAAAGAATTAGTAAACTGGCAAACGTTGTTTTATTGTTTGCAAGATTAGTATATAAATAAAACACTATAACGGTTTCAAACGCGAAATATATAAATTATTGGAAAATATTTTAACTGAGACCCGACGTTCCCGATGCTTTACAGCTGCCGTGGTCAAAAAGCGTCGGGTCGTTGTTTATTAATATATTTCGAGTTTTAAACCGATAGTTACCGTTAGTGTTTAAATATGCCAATTATGTAGGGAACCCTTGGCGAGTGTTACTCGCTTCGGTTCGATCGCTTTTATTTTTTAATTTTTTACATACAAGCAATGTTTATTGTATTTATTTGCATTCCAAGTTTTGATTTGAACAATTCTCAGAATATTTTTTCTTAATACTTATCGTTATAACGAGTTATAAAAGATTTTGGTACCGGCAGTATATTGGAAACTCAGCATTGGCGAAATAAATTACAAAACTTATTTTTAAATACGACCCGACGTAATAAAATTTGACTGAATTTTATTTCTTTACTTCTTACCGTTTCTTTAAGTTCTTTATACTTTCTTTTCTCTAAATGCCAACAGCGCGGAAACAGGTCGCGCTAACCTGGCAGATTTAGGGACACCCTCCATCTTTAGTCCCCCTGTGACCACGGCTGTTTCAAAGCATACGAAAAGTCGAGGTGTATTAAAATAGATTAACATATACTTATATTTCAAAAAGAAATTTGTAATTATTTCACCTCCTTACCTTAGAACACTTTATCTTTTAAAAATTACTACAATGTTTATACTTATATGCAAAGTAAAAATAGGCCGACAGCGCATTTTGCTTAGATGTCATATGGCTGGGGTATTTCGCATACCATCAAGTGAACGTCTCTGTCCTCCTCTAAATAAAAAAAATATAAGTAATTTCGCGTTTTGAACCGTTACCAATGTCCTATTTTAATAACATCGTTAATCCCCACGATTCCTGTATTACTAGATAAAGAAAATTAATGTCTTTGCAGGCGGTCTTGGCACGCGGCACTGGGTGACGTTCATGCTGTTCCTTGGCATGGCCAACGCGTACATCATGAGGACGAACATGTCTGTCGCGATAGTGGCCATGGTCAATCACACGGCGTTGCCCGTCAACCACGAAGCAATGGACACCGAGTGTGGTGAAGTCAACGGTAACACAACTAAGGTACTGATATTGATTAAAGGCTAAAACTAAATGAAACACTTTAACGGTTTAAAACGCGATATATTAGTTAAACTTATTTGAACATTATTTTTAACTTCGGCCTGACGTTTCGGATGCTTTGCAGCAGCCGTAGTCACGGCTCATCTCAAAAATAATTTTCAAATAAGTTTAACTAATATATCGCATTTTAAACTGTTAAAGTGTTTTAAATGTGTACTACTCGCGTAAACTATAGAGTATAGACAGTGCTTATCAACTAAATCTATACTAATAAATACAGTTAGAGTTTGTTTGTTTGAACGCGCTAATCTCAGGCAGTACTGGTTCGAATTGGAAAAATATTTTTGTGTTGGTTAGTACATTAGGAGTACTTCGTCCGCGTAGAATAGTTGCTAGTACCATGTAATTTACGCATATAAACTAGCACATAAGACTTTAACGTACAGACAAGCACAGCATTGCTTATTCATACAACAATTTTGGACTACATCTGGATATTAAATGGCTGGTGAATATCGAAAGTCTGTCCAAGTCATAATACCATAATCCACAGATTAAAAACCCCGAAGTTTCGCATTTTGGTTTCAATCCATGGATTTCCGAAGTAGGAGCCAAAATAGGGCCGGCAGCGAATCTTCTTGTGACGTTATAATATGTCTCGTTCATCTTCCATCAAGTGCTCCCACGCTTGTCTAACTTCCTTTATCATACACAATTAAATAAATGCATTAGATTAAACTCCGCTGGGATCAGTACTTTTAAAGTTACTTGCAGAAGACACTTTTTATTGAATAGGTTTTACGCTCTTTGTCGTTAAACCGGAAGTAACGGTCTGTGATTTTCATGAAAACCCCACGGAAGCTAAGGGAGCTATTCTATTGACGGTGTTTTTCGAATGCTATGACGTAAGTTAGACGAGTAGGTAGAGGCACACGAAAACATCGATGTTTGCTGATTTGGGACGTAGAGAGAAAAAATCAGATCTATTTACTGTATTTTTTCTATGGCAAAATACCACAATAAATATGGCCGATTTCAAACCATAGACATGCGATGACCTTTAATAGAGTAAAGCCACAGATGACACATGAATAAAGAAACATCGATTATATATTGACAGATGGACCTTTTTTTAAATTTTCATGACATTATTTTACTTACGTTTATAACGATTTTCACCGATTGTGCATGAGTGGGACTTCTACCTTCTATTGTCGTTGACTTTGCTTACGTCCCATCCACACGTCAATGTCAAAGTAAAGAAATTTATATCTGTTCATTTATGTACATTCATAATTGTGGTTTTTATAAGAGATTTTGTGGTCGTTTCATTATCTAAAATGCAAATCAATGTAAACCTTGTGAGAAAATCACAATTTCATCTAAACTTTGTGTTTTATAACAAAAAATGCCTAATACTGTGTTTACGCGAATAGTACACATTTAAATAAAACACTTTAACGGTTTAAAACGAGATATATTAGTTCAATTTATTTGATAATGATTTTTAACTTCGGATGCTTTGCAGCAGCTGTGGTCACGGGGAGACTGAAGTTAAAAATCATTTTAAAATAAGTTTAACTAATATATCGCGTTTTAAACCGTTAAAGTGTTTTATTAAAAAAATGTCAAGTTAAAAAAAATACACTAAAGAGAGAAAAATAAATTGAACAGATCTACAACTATTTCGTCTTGTCTCCCATAGATAGCCACATCATTTTAGCAAAGTCAATTTTGAATGGGAAACATTTAGTTTATTAACGTGGGGTTTAGTACCGTACTGTCATGTAGGTAGGCTATATACCCCACCGTCCAAACAGGATCCGTTGCCCCCCTATTTTGACTTTGGATATTAGGAAAAAATACGTGTTTTCGTCTTTTTTAATTACATTGAAAGTAATATCCCATTTATTCTTTTCAGGAGGTCTTACAGCAAGATGGCGAGTTCGTGTGGAGTTCAACTCTTCAGGGTTACATTCTTTCGTCTTTTTTCTATGGTTATGTCATCACGCAGATTCCCTTCGGTATTCTTTCTAAAAGGTAAGACTTATCTATACTATTATATAAAGCTGAAGAGTTTGTTTGTTTGAACGCGCTAATCTCGGGAACTACCGGTTCGAATTGAATCATTTTGTATTGGTTGGAACATTTATCGAGAAAGGCTATAAACATCAAAACAAACAAACAAAAAATTCTTTATTTTCACCAAAATGTTACAAAATATCCATAATTTAAAAAATAACAAAATGTAGCAAGGAAAGGCGGCCTTATCGCTAAAAAGCGATTTCTTCCAGGCAACCTTGAAGATGGATATTTACGGTAATAAATGATAATAATAATAACATCATGCTGCAAGAGCAAAGAAACAGTGGAAAATAGGGGAAAGAGAGGAAAATTATTCACCTTTATTAAGAACCCGAGATCTAGCGATATCTACAATTGTGTACTAACTTCCAGACTGAATTGACAGCTATTCGAAATATTCATATATAGTTTTAAATTAAGAATATTTCTAAGTTGAAAACATTTGACGACCGCGGGTTCGAACTGGCAACGATAGCGTTCCGTGTTGCTTCAATCTGTAGAGCGACCTGTGGGCCAAGTCTCGCTCGTGTCTTCATTTTTTTTATCGTAATTAATTTTTAATTTATACAATTAGCAATCATATTAATATTATATTAAATGTTTACAAACATTAATATTTATATTAAATTTAATTTTAATCACTATATAATTGTCCGTAGTTAACACAAGTAGTAACATCTTTAAATTAAACAAATCATTCGAAACGTCAGGCCATAATAAAAGTAAATTGTAAATAACATAACCAATACATCTCACGTTTGAGACGGTTAAAAGTGTTCATAGCCATAGTAAAAACTAATTGTAAATAACTTAACTAGTACATTTGGCGTTTTAAACAGTTAAAAGTGTTTATTTAACTATAACCCTAAACGTCGAACCATAGTTAAAATTAATTGCCAATAAGTTAACTAAATACATTTCACGTTTTGAACCGTTAAAAGTACTTTTTTTCAACTCATTAAAATTATACCGAAAAATAAATTACATCTCATTAATTTAGAGTATTATTTACGATGCATTACTCCAATTCCTTTCTAATTAATGTCTTTAAATAAATGTGTCTTAGAAAGTTAAATTTGGTGGCAAGTGTTCGTGAAGAACGGCGGCGGTTTCTAAATTTAGTGTGCCCAAGTAAACTGCCAAAATTATCTAAAAATGTGACGTCACTCGGGGATAAACATAGAATTGATTACGTATTGGGAAAAGGGATGTTTACAAATTGAAGACAGAGGAGGACATAAAATTTGGCTCAGTTGATGGAAAGAAATGCCCCCGCCACATCTATACTAATATTATAAAGAGGAAAGATTTGTATTTTTGTATGTAACGGATAAACTCAAAAAGTACTGGACCGATTTTAATAATTCTTTTTTCATTAGAAAGCTACATTATCACTGAGTAACATTGGCTATATTTAGTACTCGATTACTATAGACATCTATAGAAATTCTTACTAAAACCAACGGAAGGCGTAAAAAAAAATAGCCGTAAAATGTCTATCTTCGCATACGCTGCGAAAAGTATTAATGATAGGACAACAAAATGTTCGACAATATTTTAGAATATATCATCTACAAAAAACATCGCGAGAGCATATGGTCGAACTATTGTAGTTACGTCGACAGGCCGTTGGTTCGATCCCCACCGGGTCCAACATCTTTGTAATGAATGTATAAGTTCTCCGAAACATGTCGGGTCACGATATCTGGATATTAAATGGTAGAAATATCTCAATTACGTCCGCGTAGCGAACCACCGTCCACAGATGAAAAAGCCGTCAAGTTGAATCGCGTTTTGGCTTCAGTCTGTGGATTTTCGAACCGAATGGGCCATCCAAATAAGCCAATATAGGGCGACAGCACATCTTGTTTAGATGTTATATGGCTGTGGTATTTGACCCACCATCGAGTGAACCTCTCGCTCGTCTTTCCTTCTCTATCATTATAAAAATATTGGCATAATATAATGCATATTAGCGATACACATTTATAGATAACAATGACAAAACAATATCAATAGCAGGTGTGGACAATTAGTCACTTCCCTTGCACGTGCTTCGAGGAGCTGCGCTTGCGCATCAAAATCTAACAATTGTTTTCTCTGACAACTAGCTGTGTCAGCGACTTCGTTCGCGTAGAATAGTTATTTTGAATTTGGTTTTACAAACCTCTTCATCTTTAAAAATGTAAACTGATACACACGACATCGGTCGCGTCCCGTCGTTGCGAGTTCATCTTAAAAGATAGACATATACTGTCGTAAACATTTTCTTTTATTATTTAAAGAAGAAACATTCCCCCTTTATTATTTCTCCCGTTTTCGCAGCACACGCAACGGAAACCTTCAAAGATGAATAATTTTCCCGCTCGTCCTTTTTCGCTGTTTCCTCGCTTCCATTAGTTACAGCGCAACGTTTTATACCATATAGGCTTCTTAAGATCTAATGCATTATAAGAGAGGTTAACATTAAGGAATGGGCTTGACAATGCAAAAATATAGTAATTACTGTTATAAAAATATACGTCAGGTACTGTTGTCAATAGCTTACGAGTAATTTAAGAAATAAGAATTCTAGTCAAATAAAGAATGCTACGCTAGCGCATGAACGTCGGGCCGCAAGTTAAAAAATTCAAATAGTTTTTTAATACTTAAAACGTAAAGAAAGTAAAAAAGAAAAAAAAAAAAAAAATTTTTTTTTTTTTTTTTTTTTAAAAAAAAAAAAAAATTACCTAAAAACTGTTTTTATGTGACATTATTCAGTTATTGTATTTCTGTTTTTTAGCATTGTTAATATAAATATGAATATGGCGCAAAATGTGTCTTATTTAACATTTTTCTTAAATCCTGATATGTTAACTGCCATGTTGCCTAATTTATTATTTGTAACTAGAATTCAAGTTATTTTGAGATAAATGCCTATTTCCAATTGTATGTATACGTGTATTTCTGTAGGAATAAAAAATAAATAAACATTTTTCACGTGACATAAAACGCTCCAGGTCGGGTTTATGACGTCACTTGCTTATAAACAGTGCTTTAAAAATTCTATTCTCTGCATTAATAAATAAATTTGTTACGCATTTTAATACTCCAACCACTGACGTTATATTGTAAATGTTTGAAACTTCATGTAGATGGTAGATCATATGATTGACATACAACAATGGCTAATTTGAGGTCGTGACGTCACTAGCCACATTGCAGAGTTATTTCGCGAAATTGGCAATTTAAATGTTGGATTTCTAATTTGATATATATATCAGCAAATCAGAAATTAAAAAATACTACTATTGTAGGGTTTAAAAATCGAAAATAAATTAAACTACCGAACTGACTCGGTAGCTCGATTGATAGAGCAACAGCACGGAACTCTGACGATGCCGGTCCAAGTCCGGCCTTAGTCGATTTTTTTTTCAATTTATTTACGATTTTTAAATTATATAGTGCCTTCATGTACAATAACATGTGAAAAATAATAAAGTTTTCAAATATTTTAGGGTTCCTTAACATCTACCAAATATTATAAAGAATATTTTATGAATCAGTAAAATAGCTCAGTGGATGTTTGAATGTCCAAAGACGAAATAGGTAGACAACACATCTTGTTTAGATGTTGTATGTCCGAGGTATTTCACCTACCATCAAGCGAACCCCCATTTTTGTCTGTCGTCTATCATAAAAATTACATACATAAATTATTTACTCATATCTTCCGATTTCCTTTCAGGTTTGGAGCTCGTCTGTTCTTGGGGGTAGGAATGTTGATCAACTCAGTGTTCGGCTTATTGGTTCCCGTCGCGGCACAGGCTGGTTACCCATGGCTTATCCTCGTGCGATTCATTCAGGGTTTGGGCGAGGTCAGTGTATAAAAAACAAACAACAATATTTTATTGTTACCACAAAAGTGTTACAAGAATAATATTAAGAAGAATAAATTTTTTATACTTAGTATTAATATAACCGTCTTTAATTACTAATTATTTGCACGGTTTTAAACATGGAGGTAATTTAATTAATTAGGGTTACGGGAGTTACACACTTAAATAAAACACATTTAACGGTTTAAAACGTTATATATATTCGTTAAATTATAGTTATTAGCTACGCCTAACGTTTCCTATGCTTGGTCCCAGGAGGACTACTTTGTACCGTTAAATGTGTTATAACTATTTTTTGGCTATTTCAGGGACCGATTGTACCGTGCTCCCACGCGATGTTGGCAAAATGGATTCCTCCAAACGAAAGAAGTCGTATGGGAGCCGCTGTATATGCCGGTAAGTTGTATTTTTGGGATAACAAAAAAAAACACGATCTAGAACCTTAATAAAGTAAAAGTGTGTATTTAAGCAGAAAACATAACATAAACACTAAGAGTTAATAATAAAATGACAATTGACATTCGGATATCCACAGACTGAAAACGTTTCTTGTCTGTGGAAGGTGGTTCAACATTTAAAAAATTAATATATAATTTTTCTGAAACTTGTTGGACTTCGTCTGAAAATCTGGACAGTTTGAAAGCGAAACGCAATGAAACTTCACGGCTTTTTATGTGTGGACGGTGGTTCGTGACTCTAACGGAATTTCGACATTCTTGTCACCCATAATAATATTCAGATTTTGAGTCCCAACATGATTTACCTGGTGGGGATTAAAACCTGGACTATGAACCTTTTATTATATATACCGTTATACCAACGAAGCTACCTGTTTTGTTGGTACGGGTTACACATTATACTACTAAACAATAACTTTAATTTTCAGGCGCACAATTCGGTACAGTAATATCCATGCCCCTATCTGGTCTTCTATCCGCCTACGGCTTCTCCGGCGGCTGGCCATCCATTTTCTACGTGTTCGGTCTGATTGGCACAGTCTGGTGTATCGCATTCTTACTCTTTGTATCCGAGGACCCAGAACAGTGTCCCAGGATTAAGGAGGCTGAAAAGAAATACATCCTTAACTCGCTCTGGGGTGCGGCTGGATCCAGTGTAAGTGGAACTTAGAAAATTTGTATTTTTGCTTATTTCTTTAGGATCATATTTTATCTATACTTAATATTATAAATGCTAAAGTAACTCTGTCTGTCTGTCCGGCTTTAACTCCGAAGCTACTGAACTGATTTAAATGAAATTTGTTCCAAAATTATATTAGGGCCTGAGAAAAGACATAGGCTACTTTTTAATGCCAAAAGAGGGTTAATAAGGGTTGAAAAAGGGAATGAAAGTTTGTATGGAAATTCGTGATTTTTGACGCTAGAACAATAAAACTTTCATCTTTGGCTTTTGCAAATAGGAGCAGGAGTGGGAGTGAGTGTAGGAATGAAAGTGGGAGTTAGAGTAAGAGTGAGGTGAGGTGAGTGTTGCGGCAAAGTAGCACTTACAACGTAGATTGGCTGCCTTAAATGCGCCCTTACATAAATTAATAAACAGCTTAAATAATTAAAAGTTTTATTCCAAGTCACTATTCCACGCGGCCGAAGTCGCGGGCACAGCTAGTTCCCTATATAACAGCAAAAAAATGTAGCTGAAGAAAACTAATGCCTCATTCAATTCTTGGTTGTCCTTGGAGACAATAGTCAGCAAGAAACAGTTAAAATTAAATAAATTAAGTAAAAATGCTGTTACAATAATTCTCTTCTCACTTATTTATTAGTATATTACTATCTGCGTTATATACATATAAGGAGAATCGTATAAAATTGTATGTGCGAAATCAAGCCAATTGTCGTTTATATCTGATATATCCAGCTACAAGAGTATGTCCACAAGTTAGACAATAGAAAGCCAATGAAAAGTTTTTACTTTGAGATACATAAATATAAAAAATATTATATTTATTAAAATAATTCCCTGAAACGAAACAACAAATTGTGTTATTTCGGTAACCTCTAATATTAATTTCCTTTAATTATAATTTAAATTGTCTAACATACATATACAGAGAGATAAAACAAACAGACTAAAAACACATAAATCATTCGTAACTTCGATATACCTAAGTAGATTTTATGTAGCTTTGATAAGTTATTAAATTATCTTAAATCCTATTCTATATAATACATTTTTTAATTATTTTTTTTGTTTACAGTCACCACCGATCCCATGGAAGAAGATCCTAATGTCTATGCCGTTCTGGGCCATCATGTTGGCACACATGGGACAAAACTACGGTTACGAGACCTTGATGACAGAGCTACCAACATTCATGAGACAAGTTTTGCATTTCTCTATTAAAGATGTAAGTATATGATTACAATATTTCTTTTAATGGCGGTTTTAAATATTGGCATTTGAACAAAAATAAATACAGTGGAAGCTCGATAATTGGGATCTCTAGGGACCAAGACCAAGACTTTTAAAATATCTATAATTTACGCGAATAGTACTCATTTAAATAAAACACTTTAAACGGTTTAAAACGCGATATATTAGTTAAACTTATTTGAAAATGATTTTTAACTTCGGCCCGACGTTTCGGATGCTTTGCAGCAGCCGTGGTCACGGGGAGACTCGCTGCTGCTTTTTCACTTATCCAGCTCCCACTTAACCAGGTTTTATTGAATACTGAATAGTTTACGCGAGTAGTACACACTTAAATAAAACACTTTAACGATTTAAAACGCAATATATTAGATAAACTTATTTAACTAATATATTGCTTATTTTTAACATCGGCCCGACGTTTCCACGACGTGACCACGGCTAATATATCGCGTTTTAAACCGTTAGTGTTTTATTTAAACAGGTTTGATTGTTTAAGAAAATTTCCATCAATTGAACATAACGCTAAACGCAGCGTTCGCGCGCAAATTGGCAATTAATCACACGTCTGTCAAAAGGTCAAGTGCCGGGGTCAAGCAATTGAACGAACGAATGATTTTATGAATCACTTCGCGCCTCCTAATTAAATTATATTCGCGTTTATCACTCTGTGCTCGTTTGTGATCTGTGGTTTAAAAATAGATTTAAGAAATAGGCTACAACAACAAAAAAATAAATACTTAAATTTATTTAAGTTATTTCTTACTGTAGTGTTACTAATATTACTAGGTGTGCCTGTGACTTCGTCTGATTCTGAGATTAGCGTGTTCAAATAAACACACGTCTTTAGCTTTATATAGGTGAATATTATGTCTTAAAAATGATCTATTTCGAATATGTCTGTACTCTGTAGTCGCCTATATGCGATTGACAGTAAAGTCAATTTAAGTATCTATGGTCATATATTTTTATAACTGTACTGTCTATATTTTACGCAAGTAGTACACATTTAAATAAAACACTTTAACGGTTTAAAACGCGATATATTATTTTTAACTTCGGCCCGACGTTTCGGATGCTTTGCAGCAGCCGTGGTCAATTCACGAAACGTCGAGTCTAAGTTAAAAATCATTTTCAAATAAGTTTATCTAATATATCGCGTTTTAAACCGTTAAAGTGTTTTATTTGAAAAAAGATACTGCTGCTGTATATAACGATAAAACTATAGAAGTTTAAAATGATTATTTACCGTTACCAATTGGCAATTGATTTTTTCAATTAAAATAGATTTTGAAATAAAATATAAATGTCTAATATTTGTTCCTGACATAAATAACCTCTCTTCAATGTATTAATTGGATTTTTTTTCAGAACGGTTTCGTCTCTGCCCTTCCCTACTTGTGCATGTGGCTTTTCTCGATGTTCATATCGGTGGTAGCTGATTGGATGTTATCGAGTGGCCGATTCAACCACACGCAAGTCAGAAAGATTATCAACAGTATTGGTGAGTTCATGATACTTCTTATTTGTGTCAGCGGTACTGTGGGGTTTAGTCGGTTTAAGTCCGACATAACCTATTTGCTCCTGTGCGGTGGGTATCCGAAAGGATTTCCCCACGATAAAAAAATATATACCCTTTACAGGTTTTATTCTGCGCGGACAAATAACAAAAGTCTTGGTCTAATGAGTTATAACACGTATAGCCAATATCGAAGTTTTCCAAATATCCAAAGCAAAAATAGTTCGACAGCACATTCATAAATTAGAAAATTTAAAATTCGAACATCTAAAACGAAACAAGATTGACTCGGTGGAAATCGAATTCATGACCCGTTTTTATTGACATATTACATTCAAAACGAGATGTGCTATCGACTTTTTTTAGCTTTGGACATTCGGAAATCCTCAAACTTCGGAGAAACACTGACCCCTTGATTATTTGCTGTACATTGCTACGTAATTTTACAAGCTACGCACCAGTATCAGTACAGTAATATTAAATAAATAAATAAAATAATAGTGTTAAATTCTAATGGTGTTATAACAATAAAAACTGTTTCTGTGTCAATCGTATTCTTGTAATATCTCATTATAATAAATAAATTCTTCAGGTGAATACGGCCCTGCGATTGGTCTGTTCATTGCTGCCAACACGGGATGCAACCCATCAGCCACAGTTGCAATTCTCGCCATCGGCGTGGGTCTCAACGGTGGTATATACTCTGGTTTTAAGGTGAGTTGACTTAGGGTTCCCAAACGTTTATCTATTGCTAAAACCGCGAACCGTTAAAACCATGATTGTAACATTCATATCTTGTCATTAGTTGTACCAGTGACTTCTTTGTGGTAGATTAATTAATTTGAAATCAAAATTTTTGTAAATCTCATCTTTACAAATTATACTCACTTCGGGGAGACTAAAGATGGTGGGTATCCCTTATGTCAAAGAAAAACAGCGTCATCTCTTCTGTTGTAGTTGGAAATGGTTGCGTTTTAAACCGTTAAAAGTATTTAATTTAAATATGTATTAAATACTGTCTGTAGTTAACGCGACTTATACACATTTATTTAAATAAAACACTTTAACGGTTTAAAACGCGATATATATTAGTTAAACTATATATTTAGAGATTATTTTAAATACGGCCCGACGGTCGTGGTCACTCAGACGCGGTCAGCCCCCGCGTGACCACGGCTGCTACAAAATTATATTAATGTATGTTATCTTTCTTTCAGGTTAACCACTTAGATATCTCTCCACGTTTTGCTGGTATTTTAATGGCATTTACCAACTGCTTAGCCAATTTGACAGGCTTGCTCGCACCAATAGTTGCAGGATACATCATTGAAGGAAACGTAAGGAAAAACTTTGCTTAATTTAACTGAAAATATATGTGTCTGTAAGCACCCGTTTAAGCGCCTACCTATATTGTAATTTGAAGTTAAACTGTTGAAAAGTTTTTCTACTTTTAAATGCGTATTTAATTCATTAAATGACTTCAAAATACCGCAACGTATAGACTCCATAAAGTCAGTGAAACAATCAACTCTCGAGGCTAATTAAAAAGTTTCTTAAATGTACCCATAGATGGCGCTGACCGCAATACTTAAATTGTATTAATTTTTTATTTTAGTATAAGAGATTTTTATCTGTATTGACAGTGATAAAGTTCTATTTTCTTTTATAGCCATCTCAAGCACAATGGAGAATAGTCTTCTACATCGCGGGCGGAGTATACATATTCTGTGCGACGTTCTACAACATATTCAGCTCGGGACGGCGGCAGGACTGGGACAACCCAGCTGACGATGTTGCCAACGCGCAAAAAGCAGCAGACAAGAAAGCGAGGAAGTTAGAAAGGAAAAACGCTAGTAACGAAAACACAGCGGAGACCGCGCAGTAGACTCCATTTTAAGGCGAATACGACTGGCCACTGGCAACATTATTGACAGTTCTTTGACATTGGCAGATTCCATTTTTGAAAGGGACAGCCATATTTAAAAATAGATAGTAAATTTAAAACAAAATTATATTTTATCTACATTTGCAAGTGCAGCCGTATTCGACCTTTAATGATACGAGTTACAAGGAAGCATTAAGATGACAATAAACAAATAGTTCCCTTCGTTTTTTTAAAAGATGAAATAATTATTGAATACATTTGTAGTTTCAACCTTTTAAATTAACATTAATTTTTGTTTTTGCGTTTTATTGGTTACTTTGAAAATATATAAAATAAAAGAGTACAGTCTGTGTTGTAATAACAAGACGCACATCAATAAGGCTGTGATATTACCGTGGAATCCTTGGAGCTCGTATCGTTGTTGTTGAAAATTCTTATTTATTAATTTTAGTTAAGTATCTACCATAGAAGTATTGTTTATAGAATTATAGCGCTTGTGTGACAGGAATTATGAATGAACCGAAATGTAATCGTTTACTTGAGCCAGGGCTGGAACGATCGAAAAATAATCGATAAAATCGATACTAAAATTCCACACTATATCATGGTATCCGAAGAAAGGATCCGTCTGATGTTACCGTCCAGTGCTTTATCACTTCGCAGAATTTGAATTCAATATGTAATTTTTATACTTTTTAGAGAAAAAGCCTAAATACCGACGAATATTAAACATAGATAATAGTCATATAATCGCAGGACCTCGAATACGTTTAATACTGACAAAATAGGGCCAATTATAAGCAGTACCGGCGTTAGGGCTACTGACACGGAGAAAGATATTTCTATATAAGCCACAGAGTATTTTGAGGGATCTTCAACAGCTTTAGTCCTTCAGTTCGGCACGGGGCTTCCCCCACTAATCCTCTCCTCCCCCCGCTAACGTCGTTCCTCCTGATAAGTGGAAATAATTTTGTTCTCCATGTTTTATAAAAGACAGTTGTGATAATTTTTTTTTTCAAAAAAAAAAGAACAGTTGTTTGAAGTCCACAGAACTCTTGAGTTAGTGCCAATGGTAGAAAAACTTCTACTAGACTAGAGTTACTTCGAGAATGTTTCAAATGATGCATAAACTATATAAGACATTAATTATTTATAGTTTAGTTTTATTGTGCGACGTCAGGCGTTGCTGATGCCGAGCTGATGTGATCGTTGTTAGAGAAAATTGAGCTAAGCTAGCTCAAAATGTTATTACCATATATGGAGTTTATATTTATGATTGTATTTAGTCTTCTAAGCTTAGGACGATATTATTGAGCTTTCTGGTATGGACCATACTGTTATTCCGATGTGAATTAAAACGTGAAAATTCAAGTGCCTCGTTCTATACTTTTTAATATTTATACCACAAATGTCCAACGGTGTTCAACTTCACTTTTGTAAAACAAATTTAAATTTTATACAAGATTTTTAAAGACTTGGCAAATAAACGAGGTTTTCGTGATTCTATTATTTTATTTTTATCCTTATTGCCTACAAATAAGATTTCAACCCACAACAGTACTGCGAAGTTGTAGATCAAACGCGCCAGTCCCACTACGGCACGGCTGTCCCAGCATAAGACAACTAGATGCTGAACGAAGATTGTCCACTTTAGCATTCAGCACTGCCTCTTTCAAAAATATCAAAGAAGATTCGAAGGACATTTGCTGCAACGGTGAGGACGAGGCCTCCATGCCCTTACGACTCATCGGCTCAAAGAAACCATTATAAGTCATATAGTCCGCGACCAGAGACAAGTGCCGCGGATCCACTTCTATACCATAGACGTTGAACACGTTCTGGATCTCCTTTATGATCACTTTGTTTGCTGCCTCTATTCCGTACGTGTTTGCGATCGCGTGTACATCGTTCGTGTACAACCTGTTGAGGTCCAATAAATCGTTGTACTTGAACATCTGGACGATGTTAATACCCTCGGTTTTCAAATATAGAACGCCCTTCTCCGTGTTGGTGATGGCTCGTTTGATGTGATTGATTTCGTAGATGATGGATTTGGAAGCTGCCTCGCGTAGTGCTTGACTGAGATCGACTCGAAGGAACGCTATGGGGAAGAGTACGGTTAACTCGCACCACTGGTGGCTTTTCGTGTCGAATGTATAGTTGGTAGCGTCGCTTATCTTCTCAACGACTTCCGCCATAGCTTTGCTTTCTGCGCTGCTAATGGTATCCGAAGGTTCTTCGTTTTCCTTGGGGTCTACTTGTGTATTTTCCGCTTCGTCATCAGATTTTTCTTCTTCTTCCGATTCGGGGTCGTCATATTCTTGCTCTTCAGCCCGCTTACTCCGTAACTTCACCTGAAATTGACACTTTCATTATAAACTACTGAAAATTCCACATTAAAATTAAATATAAAGTACTTTATAGTTTACGCGAGTAGTACACATTGAAAATAAAACACTTTAACGGTTTAAAACGCGATGTATTGGTTAAACTTATTTGAAAATGATTTTTAACTTCGACCGACGTTTCGGCTGCTGCAAAGCTATTTTCAAATAAGTTTAACTAATATATCGCATTTTAAACCGTTAAAGTGTTTTATTTAAATATAAAGTAACTAATTATAATAAGTTTATTTTTTTAGCAATGTAAACATCCACCTAACACGCTAATTGTAAGTATACATAAGTTAAATAACTTTAAGATATTTATTGTTTGCAATTCGGATTCAGTACCTGCAACATATTAAATACGGAAACATAATAAAGATTTTTTATTTTTGTAACCGGCTGAAATTGTATAATAGTATATAACAAAAATTCTAAAATACCTACTAATATTCATATCTTTTTTTATGTGTAATTATAAAATATCTGAAAAAACATTTATTGTACTCACGTCAGTGTTGTCGTCGTCTTCGTTAGGACCTTCTTCATCTGAACTATCGTCCACATCGACGACAGTTTTTCGTGGCTCATTTGCAACTTCATCATCTTCATCATCACTGGAAACATTTTTCTTCTTCGACTTCTTTTCAGCCGTCCACGTGATCCCTATGCTCGTCTTCACTTGCTTCCTTATAAACGCAAACATTTCCTTGAAGAATTTGTTTTGCATATGTTTGATGATTTGCGCCGGTTTCACGACGTACTGAGTTTTATATTGTGAGTGGGGTAGGAAGACGAAGCGCATGGTCGTTTTAAGCTGGCGATCTGGGTGCGTTACAATCTCGCACTCGACGTCAATTTTTTCTAAGACATCGGCGACAGTGACCCGGTTCATTTTCTTCCTCAGCTTCTCCGCTTTGCGAGTCAATCCAGACAGATTATCAAGGAAGGGTATATCCATATTCGGCGTTTTAAGATTAGCGGACGCGGTCATAAGAATTTCTCTAAGACGAGGAATACCGAGGGTGACGTTCATATCACCTCTCCCAGCAAAGTGGAAAGTGTTCAGTGTCATCTGTGTTGAAGGTTCACCGATAGATTGGGCTGCCAATAATCCGACGGGTTCACCAGGGGGAGCCATGGAGGCTAAATACTTGGCATTCATGACATTCTTAAAGCTTTCACTGTCTGTGTATTCGTCGAAGATGTTCTTATCACGATTCTTCAAATAGTTATTAATCAGACCGTCTAGTTCTTCGTTGATGACACCGAATTTATACTCTGGCGACATTTTACTTGGTATCGGGTCTGGACAACGTTTTCGCGTGTACTGTGCACGCTCCTCTTCGTCTAAAGACCTCCACATTTTCTCCAATTCCCAATAGAATGGGTCTCGAGTTCTGTCCGTTGGCAACTCATCGAGTGTAACATTCTGACGTGCGAGGGCACTGTATTGTGCAAAGCCACAAGATGTTGGTTTTTTGGTTGGACTTCCAAACTTCTTCTTCCATTTTTTAAGAGATTTTTGTGCCTTGGCAATTACTTTAGCGTCTTCGTCTTCTTGTAGTTTCTTTATAGTGGACTTGCTAACAACAGCGTTTGAATTAATATCCAGGAACTGTAATTGGCTGTGCTTGAGATATTGACATTTTAACACATCAAGCCCGTCTTCACCGTATGCAAATTGAATTACACTCCCATCTGCATCACGCACGGTATGATCATATGCTATACTCAGACCTTCCAGATGTTTGATCAAACACCTCTGTAGATAACCAGAACGACTTGTCTTAACAGCTGTATCAATAAGACCTTCACGTCCAGCCATGCAGTGGAAAAAGAACTCTTGCGGTTGTATACCAGTCATGAAACGTCCATCAATAAATCCACCAGCTCTAGGTGAAAAATCATATTGAGGAAAACTGGGTAAAGACTTCCCGGACATCATCAATGGAGGCCTCTTGCCTTCTAGTTCAATTTGCCCGAGCAAACATGATATTTGCATGGTATTAACTGTTGATCCTTTAGCTCCGGATTGAACCATTAACTGAAGATTATTTGATGGAAACTTTTCTAACAAACCCTTTGACAAACAAACAGTGTTAATATCGTTTGTATATGAATCAAGCACATTTTTATATTGCCTATCTAAGCCAGCTCGAAACTTTGGATCCTTTGTTAACATTTCACCTATAGTTTCTTTAAGTTTATCATCATCAACATCTGCTGGCAACTCAGTAGCTTTAACTGCTGCAACTTTACCAATTTGTCTTACAAGTCTTACTATTTCTTCTCTCCTTTTATCAGCCTCCTCTACAACTAGAATATCTTTCACACCAAGAGTGAAGCCTAACCACTGGAGATAAAAGGTAAAGACTTTCGAAAATGCACTAAGTAATGCTGTAGAGGACTCGCCTCCGTATAGTTCATTCATGCAATGGACTAGACCATAAGGAGTTGCTCCATAATGGGTTTTATCTAAAACTCCACACAAAAGTTCTCCTTTCCGTATGATAACTTGTGCCTCAGACATATCATTACTAGCCAATGGAGAACCACCAGCTGCCCATGGTCTTGGCTGCTGTTTCTGCCAGGCTTTCTCACCAATCTTAGCTTTGCCAACCAATGAAAGATACATTTTACCTTTAGGAATACTATTAATTATAATAGTAGAAAGAACTTGCTTCCCAGACCATAACAGTCTGGGTTTCAATATGGTTGGTGGAAGGAGTTTAATTTCACCTTTATGATTAGACAAAGCCTGAAAGACTAATTGTTGGTAGTCGGCTTTCGAAAAGAAAGTCCCCCGGAGAGAGATTCTTACACCGGATATAACATGATCTTGGATTAATCCACTTAACGGTGTTCCATCTTTTGGTACTAAATATTGTTTGCGGACAGACATAATGTTATATGCCTCACTTCTTGCAATTTCATTTTGAGGAAAATGAGCATTCATTTCGTCTCCATCAAAATCAGCATTGTATGACTTACAATTTGCATAGTGTAGTCTAATAGTCTTTTCACCTTTCAAGATTCGCGCTCTGTGCGCCATCATACTGGGTTTATGGAGAGATGGCTGCCTATTTAATATCAAAACATCTCCATTTATCAGATGTCTGTGAACAATTTTCAAAACGCTTTTCTTATCTTCTTCTGGAGTGAACAATCTTTTTGCCAGGCTCTCTCTTTTACTCTTTGAATCTGGAGGTATCCGTATAATCCTTCCGTTTTTTATCTCAATCTTTTCGGCCCCAGGGTGTATATTTGGGCCGTTGATGACCATTTTTCTCAGTTCATCGACATTCCAATCAGTTACAGGAACGGGATATGTTAGTTTTGTAGCAAAAGCATCAGGGATACCAATTTCATCAATATCTAAATTAGGATCAGGGGTGATAACAGAACGTGCTGCAAAGTTGACTCTTTTCCCCATCATGTGCATTCTAATTACTCCCTCCTTTTTCTCGATGACTTGTTTCAGTCCTTGTGAGCCGGTTCCTCCTGAAATATCGCAATCCAAAACTTGATTCACATGCCGTTGCAATTCTTGCCAAACCAAGTGTAATTTTTCTGCTGGAGTTTTGCCCATCGCCGATTCATATGTTTGTCTAGATTCTGCATTTAGCTGGCCAATAGCTTTGTCTTGGTCAGGTGACTTTAATACCTGTAGAACAACTAGTGCAGTATAGGCTCTCTTGAGAACAGCTTGATAACTCTTACTTTGGGGATTTTCCAATATTTCTCCTCGTAAAACATTGCACGGTCTTACGTTAATAGGTAGAACTGGTAATACCTTCATAAAGAATATGTCAGTGACTGGCTTGATTTTAGCATGCTTCAGTATGGGAAGACAGTACTTCAATATGTCCTCATTATTCTCAGCAATAGAGGCACAGAATTGTTGCAGTTCATCTGGCATCAGTATTTTAATACTTCCTCCCTTTTTGCCGCTTTCTGCACTTGTGTTATACATAATCTTATTATCTGTGGTGGTGACTTTTATTAATTTATTTCTGCAGAAAATGCAATTTTTCAATGTATTTATTGCTTTAAAATAATTATTTATGACTTTGCTTCGGAGTTTGTCTATATTTTTATTTTGAAATGCCTTTGTCACAGCATCAGTCTTCCTCAACATCTTCTGATATTTTCTTATGGTCTTGTGTGGTTTGTCTAAAGTGCCCGACTTGTCCTTCATATCAATGACAAAATTTTCTAGATCCAAAGCAGCTGTGATGTAGCCTGCATCGATGAGGTCCAACTGCAACTTTAATATAGTTGACAATTTCTCATCTAATTGAATCTTGAAACACTTTAAGCAGCTCACACGAAATAACGAATATATATTTTTTATATACAGGGGATTCGTAACAATAAGGGGTAGTTCTATGTGACCAAAATGACCTGGGCAGTTTAATAAGACATTTCCGCATGTAGCACATTCATCGTTCCTATCTCTGATTGGGCCCATAAGGGGATCGTATAGTCCTCCTTTAGTAGGGTTACCCAATGAATCAAAAGAGATAGTATTGGTTATTTTGACAACGCTGAGTTGTTTAATATCTTCATCGGAGAAAGTAAGGAATTCAACTGATTCAGGGTCCACGGCCGCCAGCCCCTTAAGAGCAGACGAGAAGTTCACGCTGGTATTCATGTTTGGCTAAAAATAAAAATATAATATTTAATATTTTGATCTACTTTTACCTGAAGTCGAACATAACCAACACAATGAATAAAAAAAGCCGTAACTTTTCTCTTGACATAATTCTACCTTAGTTTATGAATATTATCCTGCAATAATAATAATGTTTACGATTCGTCGCCTATTTTAATTTCCTTGATACATTTTACTAGATTTCATTAAAAAATGAATTTATTTCGTTTCACCGTTCAGGTACTATGTACATACAACACATGGTCTTGACAGTTAACAATTGTTGTTAATAACTGGCATTTTCACTAGATCACTCAGTGAACCACAGATTAGTATAAACTTAAAAGTCGTCATAACGTAAAAAATATTGTATTTACTAACATTAGTTATTTTTTTTATTTTATAAGAACGTTAGTTAAACTTTATTACGAAATATTTTTGTAACTTTTTTCGGACGGAAGTTTCATGTTTTATGTATACAATAGGTTGTATACATTTAGGAATATGGTCTTAACAATTGAGAATTAACGTTAGCAACTGTTATTTTCACTAGAACGATTAACCACAGATTATTATAAACTAGAAAGATATAAAGGAAAATAACAACGATTGTTATTAACGTTAGTTAGTGTATTTATTAAACATTATTGTAACTAATTAGGAATTAAATTTGATAATAAACATAATAAGGATGTCTTGCCGTAAAAACCGGTATCTGCGATTAACGTGCAATTCCAAATCTGTTGGCAACATTGCGTGGTAAACATGGCGTCCCAAGATGAAGTTGACGTCTGTGAAAGTTGGGAGGATATGGACGAAATTGGCGTAAGTTTATTTGTCGAAAGTTGATCAATTATACATTTACCTTGAATGAAAGCGCCCACTGACAAAATGACATAACAATTATTTCAGTTAGAGCACAAGATACATCTCATGTCCACTGTGCCTCCAGCCACAACACTAAGAACTTGCAAGGTTACGAACGTAATTGTGGAAGATAGCGCGTGTATAGGCCCACAGTGTATAATGCCAGAGCCAGCGATACGTATATTAAAGCGGCCTTCCTCCACGGCTGGGGGTCAGCTCAATGGAGAGAACAGAGCTCGTCCAGTTAAAACTTTAGAACAGAGACAAAAAGAATATGAAGAAGCAAGATTACGTATACTTGGGGAAGCGAGGAGTCCAGAAGATGTCATTGACGATAAGTACGTATCATCTATCCCATTACAAATTCATTTTATTAACACTGAGAAATTTGTTCATGAAACAGTATTCAACCTTTCGCTTTACAATATTTATTATTTAGAACTGAACAATTAGCAAAAGAATGCGGAGTGTAAAAAGTTAAAACTTTATTTTTAGCTTGATGACGACTGCTAGACAATGAATGAATATTTTTAAATTCTCATGTTCATTTATAAATGTTGTTTTAAATAAGCAAAACATCTAAGAAATATTGATTTCTTTTAAGAGAAAGGGACTGAAATAGAATAATAATATTTAAGCAGTTGTTAGCTATATGTTTCTATAATTTATTCAATAAAAATATATACATTATTTTTATTCAATATAGATATATTTCTATTTGATTTGATAAACAAAATCTCATGTAGCCTCAGACATAAGATATAAACATAGATAAGAATGGAGTTCACGTGGTAGAAGGTAAAATGCTCCAGTCACTTAAGATGGACTTTGGACCTTATTTGGAATTATGATTTTTTTTTTGTAACATAGTGTTTCTCTCATTTTCAGTCTGACCCGGTTGCAAGACAAACTACAAGCAAACAATTTGAGTGACAATGCAAAGTCGTCAAAGAACTGTCAAAACGAAACCAAAGGAAAAGAGCGGAAGGTACTCGCAAGGCTATCACCTGGTGCTGCTGCATCAGGTATATTTCCGTCCCCACCGCCTCCCGGTGTACTTGTGATACGGACGCCACGGGGTCCAGATGGAACCAAAGGCTTTATACGGAGGTAGCATCTATTCAAGCTCATAATATTAACGGTTGACTGGTGAATGTGTTGTGCCCAAAGTCTTACAATTTCTATAATGATTTTTACATGTATAAGAAGTGAACACTTGAGTCTCAAGTTTGATTCTGAAGTGAAATTTCACTATGGTGGTTCTTGAATTTTTCTAAGAAAATTTCTAGAGCAGAGGAAGTACATCCATTGTCGGATTATCACCATGGTATTCTTTAAAGTTCGCCAGTGTGCACTGAAGTGACATGTCAGGAAGCTCTTAAAATCCACTCAAATTCTAGAGAAGATCGTTGCCCATCCGTGGGACATCTATAAGATAAATTTAAAACAAAAAAGTATCTATGCATAACAAGTATTGTTGTGACTAACCTTGCATGCAAGTGAAAGGTGAAGTGGTGGTAATATAACTTGTGTTCATTAGTGATTTTCAACTTTAAAGAAATATCTCTTGTCACATTAAAATGTCAACTTAACTGTAAAATACAGATAAAAAGAGTAAGTGGTAGTAAAGTGCTAGATAGAGAGATAAACGTATTAGATCTTGAAAGCCAACACAACATCAAGCTCAATAAAGTGCAAGCTTCAAAAAGAAATAATTGAAAAACATATGAACAATTAACAACAAACTCGAGTAATGCAATAAAGATTCCTTCAGCATTATAGTGGAGTTAGCCAAGGTAGTGGCGAACGTATAAGCTTTTGTGCCAATGAGTGCATTTGACGTGGCCAAAAGACTTCTAGAAATTGTAATGATTACACTACTTGGGAACAAATACATATGTATTGTAGAACTCATAGATATTTACGTAAACTGTGCCTGAAGTATGTTTGATATTTCAACGATAGTGTAACCTTTTGGAAGTGAATACGTTTGGGAAACGGCCTTAACCTAAGACTTTTCAGCTGTGTCCTCCAACAACACGATGAAGTGTGATAGAATGTACTGTCAATGGCGATCCTACCTATTACCAGTGTTTCATCAATGTCCTCAAGAGAACATAGTATGAGGCTGCTAGAAGCAGAGTGGCCTAATAACAAAAAACACGATTTTCAATAAGGAGGAAAATCAAAATGAACAATTGTCGGTCACTGTGTTCTTGTATATTAACATTTTTAGATTATGAAAATATAAATAACTGAAGTCATAATTTTACAGTTAGGCTACTCTGCCTCTAACGGCGTCATATTATGCTAATAGTATGCTGTATACAGTGTACGACGTTTACAGGAGGCTTAAGCTAACGTAGCATTGAGCTCTCATATTTAAGACCTTTAGATTTTGAGCTATGTTTACAGCTCAAAACCAAGTAATAGGAAATATGGCTGTTTTTATATTTAATGGTTTACATATCTACAACACAGATGATTAAGCTTGAATGTTAGCATTGACTATTTCATTCTTTTTGCATATTTCCCCACACTTGGTGTTTCATACCAAATAAGGTTACAATGTACTAATATTAGAAAATTTTATTATCTTTATGTAATTTTAACGATGTGTATCCATTTCGCGATTTTATCATTTTTAGTAACTCAACCACGACTTAAGCAGTATTATTTGGTCATGGGGGGTGAATCGCAAAGAAGTGATATGATACTGTCTGTAGTTTACGCTAGTAGTACACATTTAAATAAAACACTGTAACGATTTAAAACGCGGAATATATGAGGCCAGACTCCGTGACCACGACTGCTGCAAAGCAATCGAAACGTTAGGTCGTATAAATAATTTTCAAATAAGTTTAACTAATATATTTCGCGCGAATTAAACCGTTAAAGTGTTTTATTTAAGTGATATGATTCTCGCCGACTTATGTCGCTAGATTTATACAAATCTGTCTTAACTATCGACTTGTGTCGGTGTTAAATATAACTGTTTTGAGAATTGCCCTCCTAAGTGGATCCTATTGAGACTAAGAGACTGTGAGAATTGGTTCTTAGGTGGTGAATTTTGTAATTTTTGAATCGGTTACGGTACATCTAGAAATAAATCTCATAGCTCAAAAAAAATACCTGCTGGAAGATGGCCGCTAAAGTTTAAACGGAGTGCTGCCAGATTTATTTACCTGTGCATTATACTCATTGCATTAATAGGTACAATTGATAAAATAAAAAATAATTTCGATCACTTTTTTCATACAACAAAAATACCGCAAATTTTTGAAACTAGGCGAGTTAACAATTATACATAATTCTGGCTGTAATAATAATAAGATGTTTTTTTAAATATAACACTTAACGGCTTAAAACGCGAAATATATTAGTTAAACGTATTAGAAAATTATTTTAACTACGGCCTGACGTTTTAAGCGGTGTGTTTTATTTAAATCTGTACCACTCGCGTAAACCATAGACAGTATTTAAGATGTTTTTTTTTAGATTTCAATGAAATCTTGCAATTATACTTTGAAACTATCTGGCCACATTTTATTATTAATTTTGTGATAAATCTGTCGGCACCCTGTTTAATTTACATAATCCAGCTGCCATGGCAACAATACCGGCTAACATCAAAACAGTCTCTAGAAGATAGGTCTTACAGCAGAAGACCAAGAATTCAAATGACATAATATGATTATTGTAAATAGATAATGATGTTGAATTATTTTGTACGATACTTATCTAAGAAACCTCCGTGGGCCAACATATTATACAATATAGCATATGCTAACTAGCTTTTCTCGTACTGATCGTAGAACATCCCGATATTAAGTGTCATCTAGTCAATATGCTTAGGTCCTTTGTAATATGCTAAACGGAGTAACATAGCGGTTCGTTGCAACCACGGTCACGCAGCGGTTCGTTGCAACCACGGTCACGCAGCGGTTCGTTGCAACCACGGTCACGCAGCGGTTGGTTGCTACCGCGGTCACGCAGTGGTTCGTTGCAACCGCGGACACGCAACGGTTCAATGCAACCGCTATAACCTAATGGACAAGTAGACTAAGTTACAATTATTATGTTTTTATTCATAATCATGCGGTCTATTATGTAAAGCTAGAAATGTACTTTGTCTAATGTAGGATGATAAGTATTATTTTGTTTTGTTGGTAAATTCTACAAATATATATTCGGCAATACAGTGACAATCTAAGGTAAAATAAAGTAAACATAGCCGAGTCAGATAATTTGGTAAATATTTTTTTAAACCGGTTAGACGACGTGTGGAGAAGGATGAACGGTTTAAAACGCAAATTTATAAGTTAATTGAATTTTAAATATATATTTTTAAATAAATAAATCTTAAGACTTATCATCCTAAAATGGACAAAGTGAAGCCTCGTGTGCACGAGTACAATTTTAAATTTTTCATCTTTATTATTCTATAAATAAACCACAGAGATATATACCAACTGTAAATAAGTGGTAAGTTGTAACTTACATAGGAATTTGAAAGACTTCAACGGTTTAAAACGCGTTTTAATATATAACCGTTAATGTTTTAAATACGACTCGCGTACTCGCTAGTAAATAATATAGTTATGCGGTTATTTAAAAAATTGTGATAATCTTGAATGTTACATTTTTTATCGTATTATTATAGACATTATGGATGTAACCTTGGGAGGTCCACTATCGGTTATTGAAACTGAAAAAGGCCAGAAAATTTACTGACCTTTTTACGATTTATAACGTCATTGAAGGTTTGTACATAACAACTAAACATTTTTACTATAACAACCTATGTACGCCCAATGTACGAGTGAAACTATTTTTACAATTTCAACTTTTTAGGATAATAAACGCACAACTCCGTATGATATGATCAATTGAGTTAAGGTACATTTTTAAAGGGTTACATTACATTAACTTCATTGATATTTGATTATGAATGTACATTTGATAGGCCGTTATTGAAAGTTTGTTTGTAATTTCATTCGTCGCTTAGTTTCGCGTAAAAAGGACACTGGACGCTGGATATAGATTTGACGATAATCTGAAAAGAAAAAAAAGCTATAAATTTCTGTTTATTTTGTGAATATTTCTCGCGAAAAAGTGTTAAATTTAAAAAGTCGTGTCATATCTATATATCGCTAGTTTAAAAACTTCGACTTCTACTAGACCCTTTGTGTTTCCAAACAGTTTTTAATTTTTCTGAAACATGATGGACACCGCCATCGCGAACCACCGTACAGAGATGAAAAAGCCGTCAATATTATTCGCGTTTCGGTTTCAGTCTCTGGATTCCCGAATATCCTAAGCCGAAATGGGTCGACAGCGCATCTTGTTCGTTATATGGGTAGGGCATATCACCCACCATAGATCATAAAAAGTGGATTGTCCTATCAGCGTCCACGCCACCTCGTTTCACAAAATAGAACTAAAAATCGAATCCTGCGCATCGTTCAAGCTTCAGCGTTCTTTTTACAAATTTAGCTATTTATTTTCTCTCGAGTGAAGTTTCTATCATCTTACATAAGGTTAGTATAATGTTTGTAAATACATATTTTTACCCAATTGACAATGTTCGTGCCAATTTATTTATTGCTTTCGGTTATTGTGTAATACGATTAACGGTGCTCGAAGAAACGCTATTTAAGTGGTGGGGAAGGAGGGGAGGGTTTAAGTGTTCTGGTTTATTTTTTATGACGAAATTATTGCTTTGAACGTAAAGATCACCGCACACTTACTGTCATAAACCAATAAAAATAATGACGGGTTTGTTGGTCCAATGGTATGTGAATGTATGGTAAAGAAAAGGGTGTAGATTCGATTTTCACTAGGGTTAAAAAATCTTGATTTTAAATGGGCGGTCTGGGTCATGAACCACCGTCCACAGATGAAAGAGTAAATCCGCGTCTTGATTTAGTCTGTGAATTTCTGAATGTCCGAAGACCTAATAGATTGATAACGCATCTTATTTAGATGTTTGACCGAAGCTGCGCTGTTGACCTATTTTGGCTTTGGATATTCGGAAATAAATTTAATTAATCCTAAATACTATAAAGATATTCCTACCTTCCATTTAATGTCCAGATTTCCAGATGAAGTCCCACATGTTTCACGAAAATATTGGACCCTGTTAATGAAATTCAAAATGATATCATTAGACCAACGACTCCATCAAATATTTACCTCAGTACTCCTCCTTTCCTTAATTTTGGGTTTTAATCCAGTTCGCGTCAACCAGAACTGTCCAATAACGATATTAAACTAAGCTCACTCTGTACTCTTCATTAATTAAGTTTAGGTTATCAATTTACATTTTAATTTTTAATGAAAATATAAGTATTGTTAAAATGTTTTGTTTTATTTTTGACTTTAATAAACTAACTGGCCTGGCAAGCGTTCTTTTGCCATTCGTAGTATTTCGACGAAAGGTCGATAAAAAAGCGGTTCTCGTAATTTAATCGTAAAAGAAATATTATTTAAAAAATAATGCTCCTTTAGATATTTTTTAGGTATCTTGAACCGTTTTCGCAGCGCACGCAACGGAAGACCACAAAGATAATTTTCCCCGTCTTGTTAACATTTCCCACTTTTTTCGCTTATTGGTCGCAGCCTGATGTTTAAAAGATTAAAGCCTTCTTCGATAAATGGCCCAACCAACAAAAAAAGATTTCAATTCGAACTAATAGATTCTGAAAATAGCGCGTTACAAACTATATATTTATAATACTTGTGTAGATGTTAAAAATATTATCGTTTATTTATCACAATATAAAATAAACCCAAATTAATTCCTAAATCACTTAATTAAGACATGACCTGTCAAATTCACATATTGTAATGCCGGGTCCCAGTAAAAATAAGTAAACCAAAATGTTTGCGTTTCAAACTGTTAAGTGCTTATATAAATAAAAATAAAATAATATTCATGTTTAATACACGTTAGCTAAGGCCCGATGTTTCGGAAGCTTTGCGTAGTAGGGGCGTAGTTATAGATATAAATATTCGCGTTTAAACCGTTAAAACTGTTTCACTTAAATTTGCAAACATGTTTTATAATATATTTAGCATTTTAAACCGTTAAAGTTTGTTCTATAATTGCGTTTGTTCTACGTTATGAAAAGTCTATGTAAATAAACTCATTTATTTTAATGCCAATAAATATTTGGCATAATCAAATTAAGATAATATCTAAAACATTAATACATAATATTTCCTTTTAATCTCATTTATTTTTTAAACTTCACATCTCGAACAAGGACAAGTTATAATTTAATGACAGGTATAACTAGATTCTAGTCGAACCTGTTTACTTAGTTCAAAACAAAACGTGGTGGAAGTAACCAGTGTAAAATGGATGTTGAGAACCTTAGTGAACGAGATCGCGCTGTGTTGAGAAGCATCTTCGATCCTACTGCGACGATTGGTGATGTAACTGATGATGGTGATAAGTTCGTTGAGGATGACGAAGGTACTGTGCTTTGCAAAGCAGGTTTTACAAATATTTACTATACCAAGTCATAGAAATAAAGTGATTGTATTCAAACAGTCATTTATTATTGTGAGTTATCTACTAAGTAGTTAGTTGCCTAGTTCGGTACTCTTAGGTAAATTTAAATAAGGTACTTTTAACGGTTTAAAACGCAAAATTTATAAGTGAACTTATTTTTAACTTATTCTAACTACGGCCAGAAATTTAGGATGCTTTGCAGCAGGCGTGGTCACGGGGAGACGTAATTAAATAAATTTAATTTATAGTAATATTTTTCGCGCGAAACCGTTAAAAATGTTTTATTTAATTTTGTTCTCCTGACGTAAACTACAGACAGTGCTTAACTAATAATATTTCTATCCTGCAATTCACCCACATTGATTTTTAAATAATTTTAATAATTATTCAGACAAACAGTTTAAATATTTTTATATAGAACACTTTCAATGGTCCCCCCATGACCGCGGCTGCTGCAGAGCATTCATAACGTTGGGCCATAGTCAAAATAATTAACGAATATATTTCGCGTTTGAAACCGTAGGATATGTTTTATTTAAATGCGCATTACTCGCGTAAACTGCCTATTTACATATTTTTCTTTATAGTTTTTATGCGTGACAACTATTATTTGTGTAACGCAGAAAACACACCTGCAAACGAAGAATCCAGGTCTTTGTGCTTGCAAGGTGTGAAATTGGCGGAGGCTGGTAAATTGGAGGAAGCCCTGGTACATCTAAACCGGGGTATAGAGGTTGCTCCGGATAGAGCTTCGGGGTACAACGATAGAGCACAACTCCTGAGGCTAATGCAGAAAGACGATGGTAGGTAGACGAACTTTAAAAAAAATCTAAGCGCTGGTCTAATACTAATGTATGCCTAATAATCAACGAGTTTGGTTCACACCGGCTCCAGCTAATCAATTTATAAGTGTTTTGAAACATGTTGGATTTCTGGAAATCTGGATATACAAGTAAATGGGTGGTAGGGACTCTTCCGTCCGGTTCATGAATCATTGTCAAGAGGTAAAAAGGGGTTGTCCATTAATCACGTGAGGCTTGAAAGGGGGGGGAGGGGTTTGATAAGTAAGATATCTCGTGTATTTATTTATTCGTCAAACGCGCGATTTTTAAACAAATGGTGCAGACATTTTTATTATGGTCCTTAATTTCAGAATAAAATAAAATTATAGTTTATACCGGTATTTATATTAAGATAATATTCAGAAAATTTTAAAATTCTTTGTAGACGTACTAAAAATGCACGTGATGTTGAGAAGGGGGAGGGGGGGTAAACCTCACTACGTATCACCAATGGGGGAGGGGGGTTTAAAAATTCTAAAAAACGGTCACGTGATTATTGGACAACCCCAGAGACGATGTTTAATCGCGTTAAAGTTTTCAGGCAGTGGATTTCTGAATGTTGAAGTCATTCCATTGTTTCTACTTAATCAATGGTATTGATTCCGTCCGGATCACGAACCACCGTCCACAGATGAAGAAGTCGCGAAGCTTAATCGCGTTTCAGTCTGTGGGTTTCAGAGTACGCAAAGCCAAAAAAGGCGAACAGCGCATCTCGTTTCGATCCTGGGCTGGGTCATTTCAATTGCCAAGTGTACCCCAAGCCATATCTTACCTCCTCAATCAATAAAAAAATAATTTCAACCTTTATAAATAAAGCTTTATCAAGTCTTAATCGATTTAAATAAACCACTTTAACGGTTTAAAACGCGATATATTAGTTAAACTTATTTAAAAATGATTTTTAACTTCGGCCCGACGTTTCGGATGCTTTGCAGCAGCCGTGGTCACGTAATGACCACGGCTGCTGCAAAATTTCCAAATAAGTTTAACTAATATATCGCGTTTTAAACCGTTAAAGTGTTTTATTTAAATGTGTACTACTCGCGTAAACTATAGACAGTATTTAAGTCTTAATCGATTTTCATTTATATCATAATGCCGTCAGGTGCAGACATTAATGTTACAGCTTTTAAACGTTAAATTCTGTGATTTTATCAATGATTTCTTAAGCTGCAAAGTAAGGTATTGAAGCTTAATACAGTGTTAAGCAACAGCACGGAACGTTGTGGATTCCAAATCGCCGGTGACGTAATTTCTTTTCGATCTAAGTTTGATTTTTAATTTATATAATGATAACATTACATGCATTTTCAATACCATGAACTAGCTGTGTCAGCGACTTCGTCCGCGGGAATCCTTATTTTTGTCGGTCGCGTCTCTTCTTATTGTTCATGCAAGTTTATCTTAAAACTATCTTTTAACATATAGCGTTTAGGTTTTTTTTTAAGATCATTTAAACAGGAATCATTTTTACATACATATTTTTTCGGTAACTTGAACCGTTTTTGCAACGTACGTCTTGGAAACCCATAATGATGAATAAATTTCCCAATTTTTTTCACATTTCTCACTGTATCTTCGCTCGTATTAGTCACAATGCAATGTTTTATAGCCTTCCTCGATAAATGGTCTCAACAACACAAAAAAAAAATCAATTCTAACCCGTTCCTAAGATTAGCGCGTTCAAACAAACAAACATACTCTTCAGCTTTTTAAATTAGTATAGATTTTAATTTCAGAAGCGATTTCTGATATTGCTCGTGCGCTTCAACTGACGGACGGAAAGCGGACGCGGTCGCGGGCGCTCGCTTTGTGCCAACGCGGCGTGATGATGCGCAAAAAAGGAGCTGATGATCAAGCACGCGCCGCCTTCGCTGAAGCGGCTAAGCTGGGGAGCAGCTTCGCGAGAAAGCAGGTATATGTTATTCTAGTTTGTATTCTTAGTATGAAGTTTTTGAACTAGGTGAGGCCGCGACTTCGTCCGCGTGTAATAGTTATTTTGCCATCATTTTTTTTTATAAACCTCCACTTCATTGTAATGGATTTGAGCTATTGCCTATAATGTCAGCCACGTTCCGTCGTTCTTGCAAGTTAATCTTATAATACTAACGCTTAAGATACTATCGTGGATATTTTATTATGTTATTTAAAGAGGAATTCTTCATTCTTACATACATAAAAATATAGGTATAATAGCTGTGCCAGCGATTTCGTTCGAGAGAATCGTTATTTTGGGTTATTCCCGTCGCTCTTTCTAGTTAATCGTAAAAGATAGACATATAGCGTTGCGGACTTTTTTTAGTCATTTAAAGAGGAATCGTTCTTTTATATTATTTTCCTGAGATTAGTGCGTTCAAACAGACTCTTCAGCTTTTTATATTAGAATAGGTATAGATGGAAGAATCGGTATCTTGATCCGTTTCCATAGCGCACATAACGGATGCCCCTAAAATCGTATAGACGCCGTTAGTTGTAAAATATGTAGGGACATTAAATTAATTAATTTTCAAAAATAAATAATACATAAAAACATCATATAAACAACAACAACAAATTGTATTTTCTAAAATCTGAAAAATGTAAGTTTTCAAATAGTTTAATTTCTTTCTTCTGTAGTATCTTTGTGATAAGGTAAGCTTTCTGTTATCATAAATCCGAATATCCAAAGCCAAAATAGGTCGACATCACATCTTGTTTAGATGTTTGGATGTTAGGAGAACCACATGTCTGTTGCCTCCCTATAATAAAATACTTTAATCGCTTACAAATGTATGGTTGTATACTATTAAAATTAATAATATTACTTTTCACTCAGGTCGTGGAGCTGAACCCTTACGCAGCGCTGTGCAATCAAATGCTTAGTCAAGTAATGAAAGGAGAAGATATAAAACTGTAACTTAACCAACGATATTTTTCTATTTTTTCTAACTTGGCAAAAGACCACAGCAAATATGGCCGATTTCAATCCATAGATAACTAGTGATGACCTTTTAGAGTGAAGTTGTTGCCACAGATGACACATGGTTACCTACTAGACGACCTTAATATTTTAATATTACATCAGTTTTATGAAGAACTATTTTTTTTTTGTTTTTATGTCATTTTTATTTAACTCGACGTTTGTAACGCTTCACAGCAATCTTGCATGAGTGGGACTTCTACCTTCTATCGTCGTTTACTTTGCTTACATCCCATCCAATCGTAAATGTCAAACAAAAGAAATTTTAATTGTCCATTTATGTAAATTCAATTTGAAGGATTTTTATTAATTGTATATTGTAGTTTTCCAAAGTAAATCTGAGATAGTTCATTAGTTTAATATATAATCCAGTGTCTCGAAGTGTTTTTAGTGTAAATCAATGTTAAGGTGTGACCACGATGAAGCCACGATTTCGGGTAAATTGAGACCGCTAGAGACAGAGTAGCCTAACTGACATTTTATGACTTGACTTATTTATATTTTCATAGTCTAGAAATGTTAATGTACAAGAACACAGTGACCGAAAATTGTTAACATAACTTTTACACAAATAATAGAAAAATTCATTTTCACCTAAGTAAATTGCGCATTTTTATTTTCTTCCTTATTGAAAATAATATTTTTGCTTATTAGGCCACTCTGCCTCCAGCAACCTCGTAAAATCCAGTGTTTATTGAAATAAACCTTGTGAGAATAACACGATCTCGTGCAACTTGTGTGTTTGTTTACCAAAAAACCAAGAAAAAACAAAAAGGTTTCAAAATAAAAGCACCAAGTCTAATGGATTAGAAATTTAATTCAAATTATTGAGTACAATTCACAGTCACAGTCGCGAAGATGCCGCAGACACATCCGAAGATACGTCCGCAGATCGCCGGTGTAGCACATTGCAAGACTTCACAATTGCTAAACCAGTTCCAACCAACCGTTATTAGAATGACGAATTTACAAATGACGAATGTACTACTACAAATTCAATGCTACGCTATCAATAATAAGAATACAGCGATAAATTTGAAGATCAGGCCTTTCCAACCGACCTCTGGACGTCCAAAGTCGGTTGTCCAGAAAATACCTCGCAAAATTCACCGAAGCACGGAGGTAACGCAAGAGTGATGGCTTATCGAGAAATAGTTTATCGGAAGTTCTAAATTATAAAACTATTTAACCAATATATGACAGATTCAATAAAAGTTTACAGATTTTAAGAGTTCGTTTGATTGTACGAAAGTAACATACATTTTCAAGTACACTGTTAACGGTTCAAAACGCGAAATGGTTTAGTTAAACGTGTTTTATTCACTTAACTACGGCCAGACGTTTCTTAGGCTTTGCAGCTGCCGTGCACGGAGGGAATGGGAGTTTCGACAAACACCAACTACGACTCAGTACACTCAACACAAACGAAACAGATGGCGCTAACGGCAGTTTTTACTTTGATTTAGGGGCATCCTCCATCTTCAGTCCCAGTAATCGGCTGCTCCAGAGCATCCGAAACGTCAAACCGCAGTTTAAATAATTCGTTAACGAATACATTTCGCGTTTTAAACCGTTAAAAGTGTCTTATTTACAGTTTAAAACCATTTAAATGGCGTATGCTCATCCGCGAAGCTCGATGGGATCCCCATGTACCAAAAAAAACGATATTACGTTGCGAACAACCAGATTCTAGTAATTTTTATCTATTTTTCCGAGAACTATTTCTCGAAAGAGAAGTTTTATCACAGAGGCTTTATAACATCAGTTTGAAAAACTTGTGTCTAAGCACAGTTAAGTTAGATTACTTAAAAGTATTGTCGGAGAGTGGTCGGAAGTCCTAAGTTAAGGAACTACTTAACTAATGAAAGACAGATTAAATTTTATTGCAGATAATAACAATATATTGTTTATAATCTTTAGGTGGTCGTCACTTGATTGAATTAAAAATTAAGACACGGACAGTTCTTGAACCGGCATTCGCAGCTTTCCGTGCTGTTGCTTTAACCAATTGAGCTACCGAGTCCTACACGTCATCGTCGATTTTTTTCAATATATGCACCTCTCACGCAGTGTCACTTGATTGTGCAAAAGTAACATTTTATTTTTTTAAGTAAAAATTTTTTACCGGTTTAAAACGCGAATTCATTACGCCCGACGTGTTGCAAAGCGTTCAAAACTTAGTTATCATTCGTTTACTATTATAATACGAGTTTTGACGCGTCAAAAGTATTTGATTTATAGTAAATATTACATAGTTTTAATAAAACACTGAACGGTTTAAAACGCAAACATATTAGTTAACGTATTTTAACTACGGCACAACGTTTCGGATGCTTTGTAACAGTCGGGTCAGGCGGGAAAAAAATAAAATGTTTACTCACATATCTCTCGTTTTAACCGTAAAATTATTTAAATGTGTCCTACTCGCGTAAATTACAGACTATATTTTTCAATTTACTAAGGTATACAGTTTACGCGAGTGTAACACATTCATTAAAAAAAACGGTTAAAAGCACGAAAAAAACAGTTTATTTATCTTTAACAAAGACCAAAACGATCGATAAATAATATCGGGCCGTAGTTAAAAATAATTTTCAAACAAGTTCAATTAAAATATATCGCGTTTAAAGACTCACGATGGCAAATAGGACTTGTCTTAAGCAAGTTGGTGTCTCCAGAGTTGTATAACATATTTTAAGAACGCGGTAAATATTTTTATGTACGTAACAGTACGGTAAAAATTTTACAGAATTTAAATTTCTAGACTTCAATAAACATTATGGTACATCGTTTTGTTAATGTAGATGTTTAAGTATTTGAAATATATACGTATTATTAAAACTACCCTCATTGTTTTTTCTCTGCAAAATTTTAATCTGCCTTTTTATTTATTACATCTAATCCGAGGTGCAACAATAAGGTAATAATTATCAAAAATGTGTCAATATTTTCCTAACGTTACCAGTGTATCTATTGTTTTTCCAATGACCCGAACAGGACTCGAATCTAAGACCGACGTGCAGTTGCCACACCAAATGACTTAGTCGTGTTCATCGCAATTCTATATTTTACTATGAACTTTACTCTGATGTTAACGACGGTTCAAAAACCTGGAACCTACGGTACGGTACTGGTACGGTGGTACGCATGCCATACCAATGCGCATCTCGCCGTGACATGAATTAAAAAAATGTTTTTTTGTGTAATTTCGCTCTTCTGCCAATTAATACACTGGTAACACTGGGCGTTACAAAATGCAATATTAGCGACGATACAATAATACTAACACTTGGGGAAAACGTTTACTTCTTTTGGCACAGGCGACGTGATAATATTACGAATAGATACGCCATTTTTAAATCGAGATAAAAATTACTCACTATAATCCTGTATCTTCTACGGGCTTATCCTAGTAAGGTGAGGTTTAGGCCTAGTCGTCTATGAGGACAAAAATGTATAAACACTAAACTACAAGTGTTCCAGCCGTTCGACCGTCGAAATCGAGAAATGACGACGCCCGATGACGTAATCGGCGTTCGACAGTCGTCGCTCGAACTCGGAAACGCGAGTAGCGTCGCAAAATGGCCGCGAAGGCCTTACACAGTTAAACCACTAGTGACAAGCATCGCTGGTAACTAACATATATTTTGTGTTTGAGTAATCCACTTGATTTTGAACACATAAAGAATTATATTGAATTATCTGTTTTAAAATCCAAAATTGTCAAAAGTAATTTAAACTTTGAATAAAACGAGGTAAATCGCACACTTCACTTCGGCCATAAGCCTTTTGTGTATTGCCACAGAATTATGCCAACAATGACATTTGGTCCGCTTCCTTTGGAAATTAATATAAATGAGAAGTAATCCAATAAAAATGTTGTGAACTCCTGAATGTGACCTTTTACCTCGTTTTGATCGTAAGTTGCGAAACGTTAACAAGATGGCGATGTCCTTGTGCTTATATACAAAGTCAGAAAATTCAGTATAGCTAGCGACACAACCAAACAACTAGATCAAAAGTTATTTAGTTATATATTATTATATAGAACATTTTCGGTTATTAATATGCAACAAATATATAATTTGTTCAATCTATAGTTATGTTTTGTATGCCATCATGGGCCCCTATTGCCCTTGAAGGGGGGCAGGTCGTACTAGGTCAACTAACTTTTACGCAATGTTTAAAATTATGAATCTAAAAAGCGGGGCAGCGCCTTTTAGATACATAATTTTAAACATTTACCTCTTCAGTAACATAAGGCATTATATAACTAGGTCTTGCTGGTGCTGGCTTTCCAAGGGGGCAGATGACCCCCATGCCCCCCCCAAGTACGCCCATGTATGTCATTATATACTTAAATAATTAATGAGGCAATCTATATAGTTTTTATGCAACCCGATTTTACTTGATTTAAGCGATAAGCTAGAAATCTCAAAGCGATAAAGTGAATTTAGTAATGAGTATTAGATATAGGAACTACTATGAAGTGTTAAATTATAATCGTGATATAAATCCTCTAATAGCTAGATATAACACAGTTTTATCCAGTTTAAAATAGAAATATTAGATCGAACTAAACATTCATATCCTTATAAATAATTACTATGCAATGAAACCATTCTTGACGATGGTCGAAAATTTAAATATCATTTTAATATTATAATAGTTTTCAATTAATAAAGATAATGTCTTTATATTGTAAAATTACTTTTATAATCTGGCTATGTTCTTCTAAAAGCAACGTAGGCCGCGTTTGTATTTTATTGCGAAAAGGGGGTTGTAAGGAGTTAAAAGAAGGTGAAGAGTTGTATGGAAATTCGTAGTTTTTTGAAGCTAAAACAATAAAGCTTTCTTCCTTGGCTTTTTGGGAATAGGAGTGGGAGTGTAGGAATGAGTTTGGGAGTTAGAGCAGGAGTGATGTAAGGTGAGTGTTGTGGCAAAATAGCACTTACAACATAGATTGGCTGCCTTAAATGCGCCCTTACATAAATTAATAAACAAACAAGTCACTATGCCACGCGGACGAAGTCGCGGGCACAGCTAGTTCAATATATTGTTGTCCTCTTCATGCGCTGACGCAGCTGAGGGGGAAAGGAGGCAAAGGGGGCGGGGGAAGGTGCAGTGGAAGAGTGAGGAAGGAAAAGCGTAAAAGGGGGATGGAGTATGAGGGGATAAGGATGTGATGGTTAAATCGTAAACGTGTTAATTTAGGTGAGAATACTATCCTCGATAAAATGTCTGATCTAGCAGCGTCATGCGTTACGTTACCCTGCATGCGACCTACGGCGTTTTAACAAGAGCACAGCCTAAGATAATATTGTTTTGATGGTCACTACAACAGTTAATAAGAAACAACAGGATAAAACTACTTTGAATCCATTTCCAGCTGAAAATATATATTGATTCAGTTTCTTACGTAAAACAGTGTATTTTAATGCATTAATATATTTTTAAAATGAGCAACAATAAATATAAAAATAACTACAATATAATGCTTAATAAACAAATCTAAGTATGTATATATAAAACTTAAATTTTAGTAATAAAGTGAACCAGCTAACGCCTTAGCTCCAATCTATATTAAAGAAAAATACTACACCTATTTCAATTAACGAAACCATTGAAGGATCGCATCGTAGACTAATCTCTAAAAAGCTGATCAAACCGCTCGATATATCTCTACAGCGGCGGGATAGACCCCGCAAACTCGACCAGCTTTCCAGAGCTAAGGAGACTATCATTAGCAAACACTTAGTAATTTTATTTATTCAATTTAGAATCGAATGCTTCACATTTTAAAATTCACATTTATTCTAGCGATAGTTTATTTTAGTTTTTTATTTATTTTAATATATCGTATTAATAATTTTAAGTTAGTAAGGCTATTTAACTTCAGTTGAGGTTACGCGGTTACATAACTTTGTGGAAGGTGAGAAATGTTACAAAAATATAACCGCGTAAGACCACGAACAATCACGCATACAATTAAATAACAGAACATAAAATAAACGTCAAAACTTAATCTAACATTAAAGATTTTAATGAAAAAACAATTATCTTTATAGTTAACTGAGATTCTAAAGACTGTCTAATTATGACTAAAACATTAATCCAGAAATATGTTTAATTTAAATTTAGTTTCCACTAAAACTATTTAAATAATCGGCGAACTATAATATTCAAATCAGCAACTACCTACCTCTTAAAGAAATAAAAAATTAAATAACGAATTTTAAACCAGACACGACTCACGCTGATATGTAAGAGTTACGATACACGATTACGATAGTATGGATTAAAATGCAAATGGCCCCCAAAACTTAGATTTAACGTTTATAGTATCGTTACGTAACGCGTTATAGGAGTTACGTGTATCTGTTAGGTTACTTTCTCTAGGGCTTTGAAAACTTTCGGTTATGGCAGATTGTTTTTATTGTGACCAGAAATATCGGATTTATCCAACGGTGATTAAAGCTAACACAAATATTGCTTGAACGAAATTATTGCCATAAGTAAATAATACTAAAGTCATGTAAATACTTCACTAATACCGCTCGTTAAAAAAAAATATAGAAATGAGCACGGAAAGATCAAAATTCTTATTAGAAGACATTGGGGCCCATCCATATATTACATCAGAAGAATCCCCCCACCCCACCCCCTCCTTGTTACAGCTGGAACATTAATTCTTCCCCCAGGTTTGACGTCACGATAATCTTCAAGGCAAGCTCATCACCAGATGTGACGTCACGAAAGTTCTCCAGCTCCCCCCCTCGTTGCAAAAGTCACTCCGTCAAACCCGTCGAGTCCAAAGTAATTTACAAATGGCCCCCATTTTCACAGAATCCCAATGTATGAGTAAAAGAGACACAGACATATGAGTGAAAGAGACAAGACGAGAGTTGGTGATTTCAAGGCCAATACGTCAGTCACATGAGTAAGTTCAAAGTACGGCATCCACCTGCAACAAGGAATTGTATAAGAATAAAAATATATCTATATCTATACTAACATATAAAGCTGAAGAGTTTGTTTGAACGGAACTACTGGTTCGAATTGAAAAAATATTTTTGTGTCGATTAGAACATTTATCTAATAAGAGAAGAAAAGAGAATGGATGAAGTATGAGACCAAAGTACCAGTTCAGACATGCTGCACGTATTCTGGGTTGAGGAAGGAGAAGCCCATGAACTCCGTCTGGTCCAGGTTCATCATGAACAGCTTGTCTGTTGGAGTCAGCTCCGTCTTCTCCGCCGTGAACTGCTTGTCGAAGTTGGACACGTCCTTGCGATGTTTCTAGAATGAGGAATATTGATATTGAATCAGTTTATTCTGTTTAAAATTTTTAACTAGTGACTACGGTTGCTGTGAGGTCGATGTTGCGTCGTAGTAAAAATAGGTTTAACTAATAATATGCCGCGTTTTATACAGTCAAAGTGTTTGGTTTAAAGCTTTGAACTTATATTTTTTCGTGTTTTTTTTATGTTCTGCATCGACCTCCGGCTGGACAGATACCCCGAATGAGTTTATGATAAATCCCGGTTCTATCACGAATATACAATCCGTATATGTTTTTCTCTGTCGCCCCCTAAGTTAATATAATATGTATACGTTCCCCACGCACACCCCTTACATTGTGTATTTTCCCCCCACGTACCTACGAAAATATAAGATAAAAAATGCTTCCCTTTTCATAAATTCAGTACTCACAATCTTGGGCTTGAAGGGCGGCTGCACATCCCTGGCCTCGACCCGCGTCCAATCGATGCGCCGGAAGAACGGGTGCGTGCGCACGTCCTCCTCTCCGCGGGGGCTGCAGCCCAGCCTCTTCTGCGGTATCTTGGTGAGGAAGGACTTGCATGCGTCCTTCGCCTCCTGGAAGATATAAGACCCACAGAGATTATTGGCAAACGTCTAAATCGGTTAAAGACGTTAACTAAAATCTAAGACTAGTGCAACAAATACGCTCCCGAAATTCGAAATAACTTGTAAGTTTAAATAAAACACTTTAACGGTTTAAAACGCGATATATTAGTTAAACTTATTTGAAAATGATTTTTAACTTCGGCCCGACGTTTCGGATGCTTTGCAGCAGCCGTGGTCACGGCTCATCTTAAAAAATAATTTTCAAATAAGTTTAACTAATATATCGCGTTTTAAACCGTTAAAGTGTTTTATTTAAATGTGTACTACTCGCGTAAACTATAGACAGTATCTTGTAAGTTTTAAAGTTATTTTCAAAGACTAACCTGTACATGTTACAAAACATATTAGTTTTTAACAGGTTAATCATTAATATAACAGACACTAAAATATTCTTTTGACGGTTTTAAACGGATTATTTATTAGTCAACTTATTTATTTATAATGTATGTAATGTATTTCGGATGCTTTGCAGTAGTGTAGGGTGTCTAATGTCAAAGTCAAATCTGCTATGTTAGCGCCATGTCTTTCGATATCAGCGATACAATCAGGCCGTATACAATGCAAATAAGTTAATTAATACATTTCGTGTTTTAAACCGTTAAAAGTGTTTAATTGGAATGTGTACTACTCCCGTAAACTACAGACAGTACTTAATTGAAATGTTGCGTACCAAGACTATGTGAATTCAAAAGATTTTTGTAACGCACTGTGCGATAGAGACAGAGCGAGAATATGAGCGAGACAGCATGTGACTATCTGCGATTTACAGATTTAAATATTACTCCAAAGAGTTGAAGCTCCGAGGCCAAGCCAAGAGGCCAAGTAGAAATGTTGTGGAATATATAAAGGGCATATTACCTTGCTCAAAGTTTTAGGATACGACACACTGTTATCAGTGATAGCCGCGAATAACTCCTCTTCATCTTCACCGTCGAACGGCGGCTGACCCACCAGCATCTCGTACAGCAGGACCCCATAAGCCCACCAATCCACGGATTTACCATACGGCTGGTATAAGATGATCTCCGGGGCGATGTAGTCCGGGGTCCCGCAGAAGGTCTTCGTAGTCTTATCACCGGTGATACCCTCCTTACACATTCCGAAGTCAGCGATTTTTATGTGTCCGTCCTGGTCCAGCAGGACGTTGTCCAGTTTTAGATCACGATAGACGATGCCGCGAGAGTGAAGAAAGAAGAGACCGATAGCGATTTCTGCTGCGTAGAAGCTGAAATCAGAAATGGGATCGTTGGTGTAATGTAGCAATGTATGGTCGTGGGTTCGATCCCCCTTCCTCACCAGTTCCAATATGTTTCTATTACATTAAAAAAATGTAAAACTTATTGGACTTCATCTGGAAATGTGAATAATAAATGGGCGGTAGGACTATCGTTCACAGATGAGAAAGATGTCAAGTTTATTCGCGTTTCGGTTTCAGTCTGTGGATTTCCGATTATCAAAAGCGACAATAAGTCGACAGCGCATTTCGTTGAGGTGTTGATTTGGGTATGTAACATCAAGTGAACCCCACGATGTCCGTTCTCTTCTATTATAAAAAAGTGGATTGTCCCATCTGAGTTCACGTCACAAAATCGAATCCTGCGCATCCCTCACGCTTCGGCGTTTTCTTTTATTGTTTTATGGGTATTTCGCCTTTCATCAAGCGAACCCTATGCTTCTCTGTGCTCCTAAATAATAAAAAAGACTAGAAACTTACACCGCTACTGGTTCTTTGAATTTTCCACACTGCTGGATTTGGAACATCAGATCGCCACCATTCACGTACTCCATTACGAAGTACAGCCGATCCTGTCAAAAGATAATCATACGTCGATAAGAATTTATTTATTTAATAAGGCTTACTTACTAACTGTAGTGTATTTTTTTTAACTTGGTAAAAAAACACCACAAAAATCCGGCCGATTTCAAACCATAGACAAGCTTTTATAGAGTGAGGTTGATGCCACAGATGACATGATGGCCAAACGTCCTCAATATTCAAAACCACTTAAGTGACGACTTTTAAAATTATTTTTTAACTTGTAACGCTATTCAGCGATGGTGTGTGTCGTGGGATGAGTGGGTCTTCTACGTCATATTTTCGTTGACCGTGGTTATATATGGGATGTAGCCAAAGTCAAAGCAAATTTTAAACTGTGCATATATGGATGGACTTTTTCTGTAAATCTGAACATTAAATGGGTAGTCCATAGATAAACAAGGCGTGAAGTGAATCACTTTTCGGTTCCAGTCTTCCGAATATCCAAAGCCAATATAGGCCGACAGCGCGTCTTCTTTAGATGCTATAGGCTGAGGTATTTCACCTACCATCAAGTAAACAAGTGAAACGTGGGCTCGTCTATCCTTTTCTATCTACAATATCTTACCATAGTCTGGAAACACGAATGCAGTTGTACTAAGAACGGTGGTTTACTGCTCAGCGCGAGAACTCGCTTCTCAACCATCGTACACTCCACATCATCGTCTTGGATGATGATGTCTTTCTTCAAGATCTTGATGGCGTACAGTTCATCTGTTCCTCGGCGCTCCGCCAGCATCACCTGAGATTATAGGAATGAGAGAATATATATAAAAAGACCGTTATAGACAAAGATATATAAGGTTTAAATAAAACGGTTTAAAATGACGGAAACTTTGCCGCAGCCAGCACGAGCGAACTCGTGAACGCGGAAGGGCAGAATATCGCGTTTTAAACCGTTCAAAGTTAATCACATAAATTACTACTACTACGCTCATACGTACGCTGCACGTCAGACCTCAGTCAAGAAATTACCTTTCCAAAGGATCCCTTTCCGAGGACCATGATGAAATTGAAATCAGTGGCCCTGATGACGTCAGCGGCCGCCATGTTGTGCGGCACCTCTCTGTCGGGCGGGGGCGCAGGCCTACGCGCGCCGACGTTGGTCGCCTTCATCTGGTTCTTGAGCTGGGCCAGATCTGTTCCCTCCTCGGGGACCGGGACGTTGTAGTAATCCCCCTCCTCCTGGGTGAGGAGCTTGAACCACCCATCTGCTGGAGCCTTCATCAGCTCCGATATGCCAAAGGACAGGGAACCCATGAAGTCGTTGCGCGAGGTTCGATCCCAGTCCCATATCTGAAATGGTGTCGGTTGGCTTGTGGTAAACCAAAAACAATATATACTATAATACTAATATTATGAAGGTGAAGAGTTTGTTTGTTTGAATGCGCTAATCTCAGGAACTACTGGTTCGAACTGAACAATTATTTTTGGGTTGGTTAGAGCTTCGTCGTTATGACGAAGCTTTTAGCTATAAGACATCATTTAAATAAAACACTTTAACGGTTTAAAACGCGATATATTAACAGTAGGACAATAGGAGCATAACCAGTTCTTCCTGAGATTGGTGCGTTTAAACAAACAAACTTTATAATA